ATAATATCAGGGGACAGAGTCAAGCTTCCACCCACTCCCTGCGTCTTTCAATCCACTTCCTACCAATCTGCATTGTGATGATGGAGAGAATACTAGAGATGCAGCCTATTATCTCCCCGCCCCCATGCTGGCAGTGGAGATGCAAAGAGGCTGTGGAGGAGATTTGGGGAGGGGGAGCAGGGATTAACCAAGAGCCATGAGCTGCCCCTTAGTTAATACTTTCACAGGGCTTTAAAGATCTAAAGTGCTATATCAATTCTAGGTGTTACTGGTTTATGGCTAGATCTATAGTAAGCCAGTCTCTACTGATAAATGATGTGCATCCTGTTGCATTGCCCTGGCTTGGCTCAGCTTCAGTGATAACCTTTATTTATTCAAAGCACGCTTACAAAAGTTCTTTGTTACACAAAACCTGATTTGGTAAACGTTGGGGGTTCCCTTAATTTTCCAGTGTCCGTGGCTCTCCTGTAAGCCTGCCTATCCATAGCACTTTCTCTGAATATTATTCTTCTGAATACTATTGTTTCCTTTTCTGCTGTAATCTTGTCTTAACAATGATTGACTTAAAAATAAGTATGAATATAACAAAAATGGAATTCTGTTGATTCAGTGACATTGCCACTATGTAGAATTATATTTTTAATGCTGGTGTAATTACTCCTTTTGCTTATACTAGAAATGTGTAAGTTTACATTTACTCTAATCTCTCCTTTATATTATACCAAAATAAATCTATGGTTAATATGTCACTAATTTCCAAAAGACAGCCAATATTCCAGCCTGGCAAGACTGCTGTACATGCTATTGTCACTCTAAGGACCCAATCCTGAAGTCCTTCTAAAAGCAAAATTACAAGTGAAATCAATGGGAGTTTTTTCTCCACAAGGACTGCAGGACGAGGCCCGACATTAGACTATCACAATATTTATTTGTATGGCCCTTCTGAGAAAAATTTTGTGTTTGTTTCCGCTCATTAATAAACAAAACCAACCAAACAAAAATGTCCTTAAGATTTTAAATTACATGGCATTGACTCAATTTTTTTGCTGCACAGACTCACAAAATTGCACAGTTATGCATAAATGGACACATATATCTACATACACCCACTCAGTTACCAGATAAACAGGAATGAGTTCTTCAGTTCCAGGATATTGCTTGGGTTGTATGGGTGTAAGTGAGGGCAATAACTGGCCTGCTATGCTTAAAATTTATCATGACCAGGACAACATAGACAAAGGACCCGGTCAGTCTCTGTCCACCCATGATGCGGGCTGAACTTCAAAAGAGTGGAAGTGCTGTCCAGGAGCATAAGCTGCAACAAAATATAGAGCACCATCATGGTCCCCGTGAAAGCAAGCCCAGGTGCTCCTCATGGACACTGGACGCACAAAGTACTGGCATGCTGCAGAAAGGGTGATCATATCTATTCCACAGGGAGCATAAGTAGGCAGAAGAAGCTCCCCTATGTGGTCTCTACTGGCCCAAAGCAGAAAAACAGATGTAAAGGACAGCACTTCTAGACACGATCCAGGCTGCTTTACAAGGCACCATTTGTGGTGCACATTGGTTCCCACTGGCACACCAAGATTCCTATTCATTGCACAAACGGCAACAGGAGAAGTGGGGCCCTGGCTGCTGTGCTCTGATGTGGATTTACATCATCCAGACAACTTGCTATATGAGTGTGCCATATTTTATGCCCAAGACACAATGACCATAGCAATTCCAATGCCAGGTGCTGTAGTGGCTCCTCTTGCCACAGAGTTCAGGGCCTCTTTCAGCTCTTATATAGGCCCAACGCTTTACTGAAGGGAGAATTCCCTCATTGTTGCTGTATCCTCACTGACATCAGCTCTGGCTCATGGAGACTCCATCTATTGCCATAAAGAGCAGACTTTGTAACAGTCCTTACACTGTGTTTTGTCCTAATGGGGTAATGGAATACTGCTGGCAACCATGCCCACTGCAGCCTCTGCACATCTACAGAAGGGTGTGGACTGGGGCATATGAATTTTATATTAGTTTATTTCAGCATATTGTTGTGTGCAGTTTTCTCCTCTGTGCACTTAACGGGGGGCATCAGTGGGATGATGTGTCTCAAGATATAGAGGCAGTATGTTTTGAAAGTTTCAAATATTCTTTTATAAGGATATAAAGCAACTTCATATAGCCTGTAAACGGTGCTGGTCCATATTAACAATGGAGAAAACTCAGTACTTATACACAGAAATGGGCCCAAACTAAAATCCCTAGATCCAGATGTGAATTTTGCAAAGAACCCCCATCTTTATAATGGGTCATCCCAAAAGCTCAGATGCAAACACTTCCAAACATTGGGATGGTCTAAGTCTGGAGCTGGATCCAAATGTTATAATTCATGCCCATTGCTATTAATCAATCATATGTTTTAATTTTTTTAACTTCTTCAACTAGGGGCATAAAATCAACATTTAAGCCATCGTCTTTTCTCAAGGCTGGCAGCCAGTAAAATTCCCTGTATGAAATGTGCAGTTTCAAAGCTGCTCAGTTGAGTAACTGCCTTTCAGAGGATAAGTACCTTCTCCCTCCACCCACCTCCCCCATTTATTTTACTTTTAAAGGAAACGGAAAAGGTAGGGCTGAAAATGAATCTTGCTGAAACAAATTCTGCTGAATTTCATTCCCATTAGATTTCCACATTGCTAGGAACTCTTTTGGCAGCCTTGCAAAAGCATAACAAATTACTCTTGTACCAGCAAAGGAATTCATTTTCTCTAAATGATTCATTTAGCAATAACATTTCTATGAATTTCAGGCAATAGTTTCTAAAACTTCATATATTTTTCCCTAATGTATTTTGGTTCTTTTTTGTCAATTTAGCATTTTTCTACTCCTCAAAGTATAAGAAGTAGGGCAGTCAAAAATGTGTCAATACAGTGAGCTACATGGATTGAGTTTGTTAGAATATATAGTTCATTATAATTCCCAGTGAACATGTGTCCACATTACAAAAACAACAAAAGCACAGTTGGCCCTAAATGACAACATTTTTGCTAGAAAAGCCGAGGACTAAATAGGCATGGAGTCATCCCTATGAGCAGTTCTTCCAGCTGATACAGGTAGATCAGCAGGGGGAAGCTTGCACTGCTAATGTCTGGGCTGTACCTGTTCTAATAATAAGTAGAGAATGGCCATCAGTCCATCAGCTCTAAATTCTCATGAAAAAAATATCTGAATGGGTGGAGAGGGAGAAAGAGGTTTGGCATTAATATAAATTTTTTTTACATGTGATCAGATTTAGGTTCCATTGCTCTGAGATGCTGAATGCCCTTAATTCCCATTGCCTTCAACAGGTCCTGAGCATGCTCACCAACTCCTGTGATTCAGACACAGAGACCGAGCTTACTTCCACTAAAGTTAATGGTGAAGCGCCCCATGACTTCAATGGCAGCAGGATCAAGCCTTAAAGACCATGACCTTCTGCTTGCATCTTCTTGCCTCTCCTGTTCCTTTCACATGTTAATTATTGACTGCCTAAAGCAAACAAGGTTATAAGATCAAGTGCGTGGACATGGGTATATATAGTACATGCCATTATTCCAACTACTTCACAGATTTAATTCTTATAATGTGCATTCATGGTTCAAAATGGACAAGTGGGAGATTACTTGCCGTTATTACTGGTTTAGGTCTCATCCAATGCCACTGAAGTTAGTGGTGAATTTAGATCTAAGTGGATTTTCTTATCAAATGTTTGGGAGAGGGGAGGGCACAGAGGGAGCTTGAAACCTAATAATTTTCCATTTTAGACCTTTGTTTTAGTTTCAAATTTCCCTTCCTTTAATGTATTTTATTTATTGTTTGAACTCTCTGAATTCTTTCGTGTCACATACAGCCTTTTAATAACATCGCTTGCTGGCATCAGATACAAAAGTCCAGCATCTCTGAGCAGGATTGTTGTAAATAAGTCTACAAACAACAAAACTTGTTTTTGTTTTTGTTTTGTTTATGGTGAAACTGCATATTTCAGGAAAGAAACCACGGAAAGGTATTTGGATCGGGAAACATACCAAAAAAGAGTTATGATAAACAAGTTTCTTTTTTGTAATAAAGGAACAGTGAAAGCCATGCTAAGGGTATCTTTTAAAGTAAATGATATAGTAAATGAAGAATACAGAAGACTGCGACGGTGTGAGTGTGTGGGGGGGGGGAGGTGTAGATAAATAAAAGAGGTTATAAATTAAACTACTTTTCAACTTTAACTATAGTATGTATTATCCCAAATGCTGATCTGAGGGGTGGTAAGAAGGTGTGGTGTGTAGATGAAAATAAGAGTTTGAAATAAACAAGACATTGTTCAGTGGACCTCCTGGGCTCAGTCCTGTGAAGTACTGAACAGCCTCCACTCCCAGTGGGAATCTTTCCATTGATTTCCATGGGCTTTGGATCAGGCCCTAAGTGCACATCTCAATTCGTCTTGCCTGTACACAGACCTCAGGACTGAGTTTTGTTGTTTTTAGTGAGACTTTAAATTACGCTTGGGGGAGGGAGTTGGGTGTGTGTAACGCACGCACACATTTTTAAATAACTTTTGGAGAAGATGAGATGGGTGGTGCTTTGAATTAGACATGCACGCTGGCCAGCATTCAAGGAATCTGTGTTATGTGCACTAATGTTATTGATGTTGTCACGATGCCGTGCATTGCTATTATGTCTAAAAAAACAGTTTTAAGATAAAACCATTTAAACTCTTCAAAACAAAATGTTTTTGTGTAAGCTTTGGTTGATTTAATCATAAAATTTATATAGATCTTAATTAAGAGGTCTGTAAAGTACTCCAGCTTGTCGTTTTGTTTACATTTATATGTAATTTCCTCAGAAAATCTTGCTCCTGTATCAGCTAACAAAACTGAAAAGTTTGTTTAGATTATTGTACTGTTAGATAAGATAAAAGCTGAGATAACATATTGTACAGCGATCAGCTTGCTTACAAATAAAGATACTATTTTATCACTTACCCCCGAGGCTGTAGTTTGTGTGCTAGGGGAAGCATTTTTGCTACAATCATCTGAGTTAGTAGAAGACGTGGATGTTGGAGTCATAGGAACTGCATTATTATTGTTACCTGCAACAGCAGTAACTGTGATTAGAAACAAATATTTTCCAGAATGACAAAATCCTTACATCCAAATATCCTGTCTTACAATATTTACCAGAACATGTCTTTGACTTATTTATGTTCTTTGGTTTTCGCTTTCTAGTCTGAATTCCTTCTTTTTTCATGGCAAGAGGCCGAGGAACCTGGGGGGGGGGAAGGTGGGGAGAATGAACACAGATCATAAAGTTTTTCATGTACAGCACACAGCAGAAACCAAATTTTAACATAAGATCAAATGGTGCTACCAACTAAATCAATTGAAATCAACACTTTAAAGCATTTTTATGATTATATAGACTCTACTTTCCAAAAAATACCTAATTTTTCCACTGTTCTAGCAGTGATTCCAAAAAGTCTGAAGTTTTTACTTAGGCAAAACTCTCATATACTTCAGCCAGAGATTTTCCTAAGTAAGGACAACAGGACTGGATCCTAAGGATTTAGAGGCTGATCCTGGAAAACAGATACACATGAAGGGCCCAATCCTGTTCCTACTGACTCCAGTTGTGCATGAACAGAACTTGACCTAAGTGCTTGTAGGATGGGTCTTTAAAACGTAATATATATTCTTTTTAAGTATTTATCCATGTGAACTAATGCATCATATTCAAGCTTATCTTTATACCAAGAAAATGCGTAAATAGCTGCGTTGGAGTCTGGGTCATTAAAGGCACAAATAACATACCTTTGAAATAGGAAATATGTATTCAAAATTAATATCACTTACCCAATAAAAAATAGCTTTGGAAAATATAATCAATTAATGTACGTGATATGATCATGTTTTATAACCATCACTTAATTTCTTTTTTTAAAATGCTGGACAAAGTATTGATAAATTCTAAAATCCCAATCCTTCAAAGACTTATACATGTGCATAACTTTAGTCACAAGATTTCCCAGAGTCTAGAGCTAAATGGATTCCATTATATTCACAGTACAGTTATTTTCTTACACCATTATTTTTCTACATTTGCTGAAAAAGTATAACCAACAATTTACTAACAAGTGCCATTCTGAATAATTTTTTTCTTATTCTTCAATTTAACATACATTTACAGAATCTTTAAGATGGCTTCATTTAGGCTCCGATCCTGCAACATTAAAGTCGAAGGGAGCTTTGCTATTGACTTCAATGAGCATAGACTCAAGCCCGTGGAGCCTGCCCCTGTTAGTGCTCAGCACACTGAAGTCAATGGATGTTCCATACGAGGATTGGGTCCTTACGAAACAGGAATCAAATGTGGACTGAAATAGCTGCCTACCCCGTGAAGTTTCATATAAAGGCCACAGGCATTGCATACTGGCTCGCCCTCTGCATTCCTACGCCACAGGGTTGTGGTTGTGGTGTGACAGTTGGCACAAGACAAACCAAGCCGTCTCGAAGAAGGCTAGGGGACAAGCACAAGTAAACAAAAACATAAACAAACAAATATAAACAAATGTAGTTTGCCACTTAACAGCTGGAGAGAGGAATAGACTGGTAACTGGTTTACCAAAGCTATGTGTAATACAAAGTCAGTATGACAACATTCAGCTTCTGTAAGCTGCTTCACAACCTAATCTAATTAAGCCCTCCACCCACCCCAGAGTGTGTGTATTATTATCCTCATTTTATAAACAAGGAAACTTATGCAAAGAGGTAATGTGATTTTCCCAATTCTGGAGAGGCAAAATTAGAACTCAAGAGTTTCTGATCACCAGTTGTGTGTCTAGACCATGGGATATCATCACTTCCTCTGATAGGTTGGATATGAAAGGATTTCAACAGATTTCCATCCAAATTGGAGCACTCTCCCTTTTCACAATGTGCTACTGTAAAGTAATCGTTTTGATGCAGCAGTTTTTTGTGTTGCCTTAAATTGCCTACTTTTTAAGCATTGCCTTAAATTGGTTTGAGAAAAATCAGCTTCTTTTAATGACCTTCCTACATCAGCAGTGAAAAATGAACATTCCAGTATGGCAGGGATTCTGTTTAAAGCAAAGAGACAGCTCAATTTTCACAAGCTGAACTTCACCTGAAGGGCTGACAGCTGCAAACTTTTGTTTTGACATGGAAAAGGAATATGGAACAGATATCAAAGGGACTTAATATGTACAACAAACAGTGTCATTTTTGTAAAAACATATTTATCACCAAGTGAAAAACAACATACTTCAGGAACATGCTTTACAGAACAGTGCTCTCTCTCTCTGTGTGAATGTTCTAGGAAGTCAGTAAATTGGTGTGCGACAGCAAGGTCCATATTATAAACAAGCCATTTATGACACTCTTCAGTGGAGTTTGGAGCCAAGATGAAGCAACCTTATATCAGAAAATACCATATAACAAAGAGCTTTATGACTGCAGACTATATATCATAAGTGAAGCCAGTCCTCATAAATATGTGAAATGAAGGTGAATGGGTTATAAAAGTTCCTGTAACAAGCGCTCTCTTTCACATTCATCACAAGCAAGGAATTCCAGCTACATCATAAATCTGTTATTTTACAAAGTATTGCAATGTCAAAAAATCTGGGACTAGCTATGTTTGCAGGCTGAAAAGATTTGCATGGAGCAGTCAGTTTCAGTGCACTGCATTCAGCCCATCATGACCATAAAGAAAGAGTCCACAACAAAAACTAATTTCTTGGGCCCTTTCCATTTGTATCATTTACTGTTGGTTTGCTCGAAATATCTGGAGACCTTTGATACCACACCTGCCGCACAGAAAACACAAAATAATGTTTTCAGAATGATAAGTACTTTTCAGAGCTATAGTCAAGTCTCTTGAATTCTATCCATTTGTGTAACTAAGTAGTGAGCTGTAACTTTACATCACAGTTGTAAAGAGAATTATAAATTAAATATAATTGCTTTGACTGGGAACTTTGAATCTAAAAGTCATTACTGATTGCATACTGAAGACAATCAGCAAGCTGTGGTTTCAATCGGTACCAATTTAAGGCAATACGGAATGTACTGTAACAAATAATTAGTACTGAAACAGAATTTGTTGTATTAATTAATAACAGAAAATGAAAGATACACACTGCTTCCAAATTCTGCTTACCTTCCTAAAGCAAAATGACTGTTGAAATCAAGAGAGTTTTGTGTGTGTGTAACGTGAACAGGATTTGGCCCCAGTGTATACGCTGCATTTTCTAAAATTTACATAGTTGGATCTTATCACAATTTTTTTGTTTTTCTTTTATTTTTGTTTGCATGAAAATTAGCATAAGTTTCAATATATTTTATATTGAAAGTTTTCTATAATTTTCTGCATCGCTGTTGTAGTAAAATCTAATTTATCTAAAAAACTATTTAACTTTCAAAAAGTTTTGGCACTAAAATGGAAAAAAATCTTGGCTTTCCTGCTGCAGGAGCTTTACCATTGACTTCAGTAATAGTAGGACAAGGGCCAAAACATGCTTATCATCTTCAAACCATTTTTTTATATATACTTACAGATGTATGAATATACAATCATACATAATATATAATTTGGTTGTATGTATTTGGAATAGATTATGACTATATTTTTCATAGAACACTGTAAAACTTTTGTTTCATTGAGGTATCAGATTGAAATTGCTGCAATGCACACACACACACACAAAAGTGAAAACCAGGAACACCATGGACCAGATCCTCAGCTGGAGTATATCTGTTCCATGACCTTAAAGTTAGGAAAGCTATGATCTTTTACACCAGCTGAGGATCTGACCCCATGTGCTGCATTTTTCCTGCTAAATAGCCTTAATGAAATTTGCTAAATAACCAGTTAAGAAATTGAGCATTCAACAGTAATTAACTTTTGCTTTTAATGAATTATTTGGCTTAAGAGCAGGCATTTCACTAGATGAATGTTGACATGATGAAGAAAATGCGGCTTTTAAAAGCTTGTCAGGTTTTTAAAAGCTTGTCAGGTGGTTTTTTTTCCAGTTACAGAAAATGTTGTAGTGGATGGTGATAGAATTGTTGTTTAACAAAGAATGGCATTTCTTTTTATACAATAGAAATATGAAGGAACTGCAACAGCTGGGGTGATTGAAGGGGTCTTGAAGCTTGATCAGTTTGTCACACTGTCTTCAGACACTGGGGGTCCAAGCCCTGGTTTGGATTATGTCAACATCACTTATTATAACTATCCCATTAATGGCAATTATCGAAAGGAGAATTCTCTTTCTTTTCTGTCCTCAACACAGATTTATTAAAACCTGTCTGCAGTTCCCTCTTGTTCCATTTTCTCCTTCCCTCTTTAGTGCCAGTGCTGAATTATAAGATGGGGTTCTGGTCTGTAGTGTTTGTTCCCCCCGGGGTTTCAATGTGTGTTTTTGACAAATTATGGTTCATTTTTAGGCGTAAAACAAAAAAACAAAGATTTTTATCTTGTTTAAGCAATTGGTTTTCCTTGAATTATATAAACAAAAATCCCAGAGATCCAGAGAAATAAGCTCTTCACAAACAAGGTAGATCTTTAGGAATTTCTAGCCCCCTGGACCAAACAATTTTCAACACTCCGAAAAACTGAAACTTCCAGTATTTTCAGTGTGTATCCTTAAACATCTGCTTTGCTTCTTTGATGGGGGTTTATCAATTTTAAAAAAAACACCCAAAGGGAGAACTCTTATTTCCCCTGTTTATGCTCCAACATAATTATGACCTAAAGATGAGCCAGGCAGCAACGCTGGATTGAAGCACTAGAAGGACAGCAAGAGGGCTGCATAGGGGGAACCTAGGTTACAGCATAACCGGCTAAGGCTAACACATCTTCTCACAGGTTAGTCTGCCACTTCACCCACGTTAAAGGGGCTTTTCCACTGTGTTGAACTCATTTTCTGCCGGTCAGGACAGGGTCACCCTGAGCCTACAAGGTGCTGAGCACCCTGGGCTCCCACTGACTCCAATGAAAGCTGTGGGCACTGAAGGCCTGTCGCTGCATAGTTAGGTCAATGGGGCGGGGGTCTTCCTACTGAGTTCAATGGGAACAGAACTGAGCCCTACATTCCTGGCAGGATCAGGCACTGTGTGAGTGGGCAGAGGGAGCTAAAGGGCAAATTGTGGGAGCTAGGACTGCAGGCTCAGGAACAGGGGGTCGGTATTGAAGGCTTATGACGTCAGCAGCCGTTCACACTCAAAAGGTGTGACTCCAGTTTCTGAGGGGGGGGCTGGAATGTGGAATGGGGCTGGCTCCCAGCCGTCTGTGCCTGGCGCTCACTCACTCACCACTCTCTTCTGGGGTTTGATGAGGGGCCTGCTTAGGCCGTTCATTTTGGTGTACAGCCCGCAGGCGTTGCACAGATAGTTGCCGGTGCCGTCCCTTCTCCACAGAGGGGTCTGAATGGAGCCGCAGTTCACACATTCCCGGCTCTCGGACAGATCTTCCAGCAGGTCTAGGAGGGGGACACAGTCAAAGGAAGGCGAGTTAACAATACAACCATCCCCTGCTGTCAGACCCGGGGGAGCGAGCTGAAATCAGCGGGCAGAGATCGCTGGCTCTGCGGGGAGGGCTGGGGGCATTGCGCAACAAGACGGCGGCAGGAAACTTGCCCAGCCCCAGCGAGCTTTGCCCTCTGCTTCCTCCCTTTGACTCATCCTCATCAGAGCCATTTTAAAGTGAAGTCGTGCAAGGCCCGGCTGAACCGAGATACCCCGGCCGCGCACCCCCCCCCCCCCCAACCTGCGTCGTCATTTGCTCTTCGGAGCCTAGCACAAGCTTAGGTCACGGCTGTCCTGTGCAGCAAAATGCGCCTTGGGCAGACGAATCGAAGTGACCCGTTTACCATCTGTCCCCGGGGGCGCTCTCGCGATCTGGAAGCCCCCGGCCAGGCTGACCCACGCCCCCCCCCCAGTCTCCAGCCCTTAGCTCCTCCGGCCACAAGGCAGCTGCAGGCACGACTCTGAATCTCTCACCACGGAGGTCAGCGCTGTTTAAAACACCGCCTGATGATGTTTCCAACCCGCCTGGCCTTGATACACATGCTCCTCTCGTGAGAGAGCGTGACAAAAATGCCACACAGTAAAAAAAGAATCGTGGTAACAACCCACGCGGTGGGACTCCCCCCCACGGCCCGATCCTTCGCACGTTGATCACAACGAGAATTTTGCCATAGCGAAAACCCGCAGGACAGGGCGGTTGGGTCAGTTAAAGATGCAATCGTGAACTTTTGAAACTGAAAATCAGACAGTGCGATATTTACCAATTTTCGTTTAGTCTGGCAGAATTATTCGGATCTCAGAATTTTACCAACCTTTGGTATATTGCCTATATTGAACAGAATCTATTTTCAATCAGAATTGCTCGCGGTGTTTATTTAAATTATTTATGTATTGTATAGAAAGAAGCAATAAATTAAAAGGCGTTTACACAGGGCAGAGATTGGTGTTCAAAGCTCTTATGTTCGTTGCCAAAATATCCACCTTCCAAAGTCCACTTGGGAGTCTAACTGTAATCATAGTAAATTGGAAGTGAAGTTATTTTTGTCAAATAATTCTCACTCACGACTGAGCAAGTGTTTGATCGTTTTAGATTCTTACTGAAAAAAACGCATTACAACTTGTTAAAACTTCAATATAAAAAAAGTCTTTGCTAACTGGATTTTACTAAATCTGTAGTTGAGACAACGATTAGTGTTGTGTGTGGGGGAGAGAAACTAAATCTCATTATTAAGAAATATACTAAGTGGAAAAATACCTAACATTTTATCACAGGGATCTATTAATTACTAAACAGTTAATAAAGATACACATGTTAGGCAATAAATAAATAAATCCCAACTATAACAATCAAACATTTCCTCCTGTGGAACCCTTTCTTTTATCTGATTCATCTCTCCATATTTTAAAGATAGAGAACAATTTATATATATGAAAACATTTTAAATTATCTCTGTACAATATATGTGTGTGTGTATATATACACACACACAAATATATATATATAAATCAATTATATATATATTGATTTATATAATTGTGTGTGTGTGTGTATATACACACACGCATATATTATACAGAGATAATTTAAAATGTTTTACTTCTATATCACTTTCTTAGTTTAAGAGAGGAGGAAGCCATTGTTGCAGAAGTGTAGCTTCATAATTGATTCTCGCTCCTTTTAATGCCCTGTTCTACCTGACTTTGTTCGTCTTGAGGTTACTCTTTTATGTTTCACATATTAGCTTTGTGTTCCCTAAAGTGAAAGAGATCTTGTAAATGTCAAATAAGGGTTTGATATAACTGTTTGATTATACTAAACGTACTTCGCCTAGAAAGAAATTGTATTTCCCCCTTCCTGGTCCCCCTCCCGGCAAATTTTTTTCCTCCCTTCATTTACAAAAATTACAAGTTCAAATGAAATCAGAACATGGCAGAGTCCAGAGACCACAGTTCAAATTACACTGTCAGCTTGTAACTCTTAACACATCACTAAGATTTATTAATCTTTGCACTAAAAGCTGCCATTGAATACAGTAATCAGTAAAATGCTTAAGGCTTCAAGGACACTGGAGTTAAACAGTTATTTTTTCCAATTGTTTACTTTAAAATGTTACCTTCATACCTATGGAAAGAAATTCTATGGAGGTAATATATCTCTAGCCTTTAGAATAGTTCTTCCTTAATCCATGCTAGATATATTTATAATTATAATAAAAGAATATAGCTTTAATTGTTCAGTAAAATTGAACAAGTAAAGTTATGAGAATTCTGTCATTGTTTATTTATGAGAATTCTGTTTCCGTTAAATTATGAGAATTCCACGATACTCTTTGCCTTACATTTAAACAAAGAGCTTGATTGCACACACTGCATGTGTTCTGAGCGCTGATCTTTTTATTTGATAAAACGTTTATAATTGGACCCATTTTAAATGCGGGAGTCTAACTTGCAGAAACAGAAAACTTTTTATCATTAGTCGGAAGTGATGTGATGGAATCGGTAGTGGGGTTTAAGGTTTGTTTTTTGTTTTTTTTTAACTTTGTGCAAATCTCCCCGAATCCATTATTTTCCTCTCCAACAGAGGCACTTCTCTCCTTGAGTTCCCACCCGGAAATAAAAGAGCGTTCATGGAAATATTAGGAGACCTACACAAATCTATAGTAGATATTGTACATTTTATTTGTGATATCCGTTTATGGTTATTGTATTTACAGCAAGCACCCAGAACATTAAGTGCCATAATTATTATAATATTACAGGCCCAAGCCAATGGGGATGTTTCTGAGTTAAAGCTGTGGGCTGGAACTCTAAGAATGGATAGCATAAGAGAACCTCAATTTGTGGAGGACTCTAATCGGTTTGTTTGCTTCTATTTTAATGTTATATCAAGCATATACTAGACCTTGAAATCTTCTTAAATAAACTAGTTGATGGGGAAACCATACAGAAGGTTATTTGTGCTGAGATAATATTTCTCACACAAATATATGCAGTGTAGTTGTAGCCGTGTTGGTCCCAGGATATTAGAGAGACAAAGTGGGTGAGGTTATATCTTTTATTGGGCCAAGTCTGTTGGTGAGAGAGACACGCTTTGGAGCTTACCCAGAGTTTATCCTTACCCAGACTTGAAGGACAACTCTGTGTAAGCGGGAAAGCTTGTCTCTCTCACCAACAGAAGTGGTCCAATAAATAAAAAGATATCACCTCGCCCACAAACATTATAAACAGATTGCATTCACATGCTACTCTGAATTTAGTCTAAACCTGATTGGGGGAGGAGGGGAGAAGAAAGAGATGTTGAGGTCTGGTGACTGACAGGACACCTGCGCTTTGTAGTTCGGATGCACACACACTTTGATTGTTCCTAGTCTGGATCTTGCCTAGAGTCTCTTATTTCCTTCACAAGAAGACATTAACCCCGCTCTGAAGACTGTACCTCCAGCAGCCAATGCCTCCCCCCGTCTTGCACATGCCCACACCTTTTTGGTCACAAAACTGATCTTCAGGAAAGTTTATGGGGGAATACCGTTAGAAACATTAAATTGTACCCCGTGAAATTAGCTGAGCTACTTTCCCGGCCGTTTTAAATCAGGAATTAAACATATTACACTCCATGTAATATTATCACCGCTTTTCCAAAGACAAGGTTGTAGGGACCAGGGAGGGATATACTACCGACTTAATCGTTTTAACATTGTGTAAACGAAACAAGAATCAAATCAGTTTCTTGAAGAATACATAAGGAAAGTACATCTGGTATTTTCGAAGGAGAATCAGTGATCCAGAAAGAGATCCAGGGACAGAAATGTGTCCGCTCGCCCTTCCTTGCAGATCTAACCCTTCTTCCTTAACCTCTTTCTGTTTAGGGTTGCCCATTCCTTCCTTTCTCTTCAAACCTATCCATGAGCCTTTTCCCCTCCGCCCTCACTCGTCTATGAGCATTTCCATTCCCATAACCCTGTCCTTAGGCAGATGATATGATTGCTTCCCTGCGGGTTTGATCCAGGCCGGTTATCACCGTGTTTTACACTTTAACTTTGAAAGTCCTGACACTCAACGTTCGTGTTGCATGAGAGGAGGAGGGTTTTCTGCTTTGCTTTGCTCTTTCACTGCTATCTCTAAAAAATTAATCATCTTCATTCTCTGTGTCACGTTAGTAAACACGAGAGTGGGACTTAAAATGCCTAAATCAAATATGTTGCATTGGGGGACTGGAGAAGGATTGTTTATCGAGCGATGAAAAGATTTTTAGGTGGTTCCTTCTGTTGTTTAGAAGGAAAATTGTACTGAATCCATGTGCATAAAATATTTATTAGTAGAGTGACAGGCAAACGCAAGCGCAAAATTATATTCCGACTGAAAGAAATTGAAGAGATTGCAATAACCAAAAATCATCGCAAAGTAACTCAGTCTTCAACCCCACAGTTAATTTAATGACGCGCATAATTTCTTTTGCTAAAAGACGCTTCCATCAGTACATTCCGCCACTGGGGAGCCTGACTGTGCCAGCGGTTTTAAAACAGAAATTCCCATTTATTTTAATTTAAAAATTGCTAACACTAACTGGCTTTGGATTTGCCTTTGGAAATCACAAAAATGCATTGAACGAGTCTCCGTAATGTGCCTGAATCGTTTATTTCGAATAGAAGATGTGATTTACACTGCATTTTTCACTATTTCTTAATCGGATTATGTTAATACGGGGAAGCACGAATATACAATAAAGAGACATCTGGAAGTGACTTACATTAACCAGTTCTTTTCTTTTCTTTCAAAAAAAAAAACAGGCTTAAAACGCCGATGAAAATACTTCTAATTGATGCCATTTAAAAAAAAATACAAAAAGCAAGGCAGTAACTTTTATTCCAAAAGATACTTTTGTATTACCGGCCCCCTGCCTGCCATTATCACCAAAGCCACACCATTCAAAAACACCAAAAGAATGGGAGGTCTCAAAATACGTCCACTGATCCCTTCCAAACCACTGTCCCTGCACACAACTCAGGAGAGAAAACTTATTCCAAAAGACACCTGAAGGTCCGCGGCCTTTTAGGATTCCTATTCAGCAAACTTTATGCATATTCATTCAAAGCCTGTGTTTGTGCGAATACAACGGCTCCTCCTGGCACCTTTATCCTCCCCTTTAAAAAACCCACAAACCCCACGCCCCAGGATCTTCACATTTTCTCCAAAGACACCGACCTCCTCCAGTCCTCCTCCTCAAAGGATACACAAATAAGGACTAATAATTATACTTCAGTGCCATCTGCTTCCCTGTCACTTCCTCCCCTCTCTGCGAGCACAGCTCCCAGCCTTGCAGCAGAAAACACAGGCTGGCCACAGACAAAAAATGCCGCCCCAGCTCCCCTCCCCTGGCGGGGAAATCCTCTCTCTCGCGCCCTCGGGTTATTTCGTTCCTGTTGTAGCCCTCGAGAGCTTGGCCGGCCCTTCACCCAGACCCAAGCCCGTGGCGGGGTCTGGGCGCTCTTACCTGAGCTGGGAGCCCGCACCGGGATCGGGGTGGCTCGGCTTTGCAGACAGTGCAGCATGGAGTTCTCAAAAGGTCCCGTGGGCCAGGCCGGGGTGAGCTGGGGTCCCACATAGGAGGGGTAGTGGCCGGGGTAAGATCCGTTCAGAGGCCTGCCCAGCGGGCTGTACTGGTCCCTGGCATTGAGGCTGCTGCTGTAGCCCCCCGGCTCTCGGGAGGCCCCGTTGGCCATGGGCGGGCTGGGGGAGTAAGGGAAGCGGCCCGAGGGGTGCGAGCCGCTGCCGTTGCTGTACGAGGGGCTCTCCGAGGCCGGCTGGGGCCACACCGAGTGGCTGCTGCCCGGGTGGCTGGGCTGGGCGGCCCCGCTGCCTTGGAGGTAGGGGAGGCTGGGCAGCATGGAGCCCACGCGGGTGGTGGGCACGTAGACCGGAGAGCTGGCCGTGGAGTGCATGAAGCTGCCGGCAGATCCATCGTAAGGGGCCGGGGGCCCTTGGCTGGCCGAGATCGCCAGGGTCTGGTACATCTCCTCGGGCTGCTCGGCGCCGAAGGGGCTCAGCTTGGAGCCGCGGCTGGACCAGAGCAGCTTGTTGGTCTGGTCTAAATCCGTGAAGAGCAGGATGTCCTCCCAGCTGGGCAGGCTGGGCGCGTGGGGGGCTCCGAAGTGCACGTAGGGGGCGAGCAGGGACCTGCCCTCGGCGGCGGGAGGAGGCCGGGTCCCTTCGGGCTCGTGCTGCGGAGTCTTGGAGGAGCCGCGCTCGCCCGGGGAGCAGCAGGAGGAAGAGGCCGGAGAGGGCGGAGAGGGGCCCGGCTCCCTGGCGGGGAAGGGGCAGGAGGAGTCGCCAGCGTCCGCGCCGCACCGCTTCACCACGCACCAGCCGCCGTCAGTCAGGGCCATCCAGGTCCCCGTCTAGCCTCTGGGGAGGGGATGGGGGGGGGGATGGAGGGGGGAGCCGGGGGGGCACAAAAGAGAAGAAAAAATCCAGTTAGCAAACAGACCCCAGCGTCTCCCTCTTTGCTGAGACCCGCTGGGGGGGGGGGGGCGAGGGGACCCTCTAATCGCTCCTGTCGCCTGGGCGGCGTTGTCTGGCTCCCGGGCAGAATAAGGATCAGCCGGCAAAGGTCATTAACACCCCGCAGCCCCCAGCCCCGCGTGCGTCCTAGCAGGGCGCGCCAGCGGCCCGGGCTCAGCTGCCCCCAGCAATAGGTAGAGCAGGCAGGGAGCAGGGCACCAGGCTGTGCGTCCCCACCTTATCTTGGGTGGCAGATCGAAAACGAGAGGGGAAGGGGAGAGCCCCGTTTATTGTCGGCTACCCACGCGCCCCTTCCTTGTTTTCCGATGCGTGAGTCATCTGAATTCCTTCCACGGGGAAAGCAATTAGCAATGGCACGGGTCAGGTTCTCTATAGCTCTTGGGAAACAGACCCACGGCGTTCCGTCAATCCGTGTCTTTCCCTCGGTTTTGTTTGTTTCAGACAAAAGGTCGCAAAAGGGACGGGGTGTGCAAAGCCCACCCAGGAAAGGCGATCTGCTAAGGGCGAGGGGCATGTACCTTTCGGAGGAAGCTGGTGCCAGCCTGCGCCACTTACTCCGGGCCTGTGGAGTTGCAAGTCCAAACCCACTATAGCACACCTTGGAAATGGCACCAATCCACAATCAACAAACTCAAACTGCGGCACGTCAGACCAGCTGGGCCCCCCGGCGGAGATCACACCGCGAGCGTATTAAACAGGCCACACACCCCCAGCCCAGCCCAGTGCCAAGTCCTTGGAGGAGAGGGGTAGAAAGCGACAGAGAGAGTTTGGAGAAGGGGGAAGTGTCAGCCGCTCAAGCAACAAAAGTGGACGCGCAAGTTTCCTTCTCTGAGCTTCCCAAACCACCTCGGGACTCTTAAGATAACCACATGAATATCAGTCCCAACACACAAACCCCCCTTGCAAACAGGCACAAAATACGTCTCTCCCTTTGCAAGATAACTAGGAGATAAGGGGCGGGTAGATAAGGCTTCCAGGCAAAGGGATCAGAAGTCTGTCCAGAGCAACTCCTCGTGCACCAGCAGAACCCTCAGTGAGCCCGGATCGTGTTTTAAATCAAGAGTACAAGAAGAAACAAAATCAGTAAGCAAACCTCTCGTGATTGCTTCGCATTGGCTTCCTTGCTTTGGTCTCAGCAGGCTTTAATCCAGTGAGCGAGGAGAGAGGAGAGCGGCAAACTCGAGTCCAGCGGCTACTGCGAGCGGCGCATGGTATAAAAAGGAGAGAGGAGGCGCCTCTCACAGCCCTGCCGGAAAACTGCAGCCAGCAAGTCCTGATTGGATTCAGTGAGCCCTAAACAAACACTGCGCTCCGGAGGGGTGCCAGTCCCAGGGCGAGTCACAGGACAGACGCACCGCTGCTCCCAGCGCTGGCGTGAGGGGCTGCGCAGGCACAATGGGATGCGCGCTGAATGCGGGGGGAGATAGAGATCAGAAAGCACTTTTCAGAGATATCAGTGTCAGGCAAATGCTTACAAAAGGGGATCAGCGACTAATCCAAAAGTTGCATGCTGATAGAACGGCAAGCTGGGGCACCATCAAAACCCCTTTGCCCAATTATATTTCTCCCCAAGATTATTCTGTCTAGCTAAGTATCCATCCATCGCTCTCTTCTCCCTGAACAGAAATAGACAAGGTTTCAGAGGGGTAGCTGTGTTAGTCTGTATCAGCAAAAACAAGGAGGAGTCCTTGTGGCACCTTAGAGATTAACAAAATTATTTGGGCATAAACTTTGGTGGGCTAGAACCCACTTCATCAGATGCATGGAGTGGCACATACAGTAGGGCGGTATAAATACCCCGCATATGAAAAGATGGGAGTTGCCCTTACCAGGTGAGGGGGTCAGGCTTTGTTTTCACTAAAAACCCATTTTACCGATCAGTTTCCCTTCCCGTATTTTTTTTTCGCAGGTTGCGGGAAATTACTTTTAAAGAGTCAAGGGCCATGATGTTCTATAGACTGAACTTCACCTAGGTCATACCGAATCGGCCCCTTTATCTTTTTGTATGAGCCACACGCTGTTTGCCTTACGTTCACATTAAGAAATCAGGTGAATAACCATCAAAACGTCCCCAGGCTTTTTCTGGTAAAATCAAAGCTATCCTCGATTTGTTGTAGGAGGACTCAGGTAAAGTCAAAGACAGGATATGAGAACCCACTCCGTCCACTCCAGCCATTATGGCTACATTTTTAGTCTCTTTCTTTCTTATTCTTTCTCTTATCTCAGCTGTGTACAAACTGATATGGTACTTAGCAGGAAAGTGACTGGAAATTAAAATAACTTCGTTCCCCAGAGGTTATCAGCTGGATATCTGTCATCATCAGTTTGTACAGAAAGAGAGTCATCTGTAGCAAGGGGCTAGATGAAGCATGTCTCCCTCCCTGTAGCCATCAGAAACTATTCGTTCCGACAGACACAATTAAAAAACCTGCTGATAGAGAGTGTTTATCTTGGGTAGAGGGGTTTTTTTTTTCCGGGCAAGGTGAGTGGGAAGCGAACAGTTTGCATGATTGGGGATAAAATATGGGGTGTAATAGTTTGTTGAGAGCGCGGGTTCGGTGCTTTGAGTTTCAATGCATTGCTTTATTTTGGTTGTATATATGGAAGGAGGATTTCTTGTGGAGAAAAAGAGCCTGTTTTCGGAGAAATAATTTCTTTGCTGAATTGCGGGAGATTCCTTTCACCTCCCGTCTGCCTGACTAATACTGCTCATTATGTCCAAGTGTGATATTTAAATGATTAGGGGTTTTCCCCCTAATTTGAGATGCAAGTTAAACAATATAATAGTAGGCAGAGAGGTCTGGACACCGGACCATTTTCTTGAATGCAGCTGCATGGCTTCCAATTGATTTACTTCAGTAACCCAGAATACGTCTCAGTCATGTTTAGATTTGCTAAAGTGAGAGACCCAAACAGACTGCCATAAGGTTTAATGATATGTAACAACGGTAATTTCGTTCCATGATGGTTGTTAGCAGTACATGTTTCTGCTGAAGTGGGTGAAAGCAATCGGCTTGTCGTTTACATTCTCCAGCAGATCCTTAATAAAGTAAACCAGAAAGTATTACATCGGTATATGGCCAGGCACCCCGGATGGTTGATATAATGGGAGGATACTGGATTTTCACTGAGCGGAAATTTCGATGAATGCGTCTCGGATCTATCCCGACCCTCACTCAATTTCATAACAAGTTTCTTGCTTGAATGGGTGTTGTGCCCGCTAAACACTGCTACTCTATATCCTCACGCCACTCGTCTGGGATTCCTTTCAATATTCGAAGGCAAGAACATGCCTGTATCCGAAGGAATTGCGTGTTTCTCCAGGATCTCTCTCCTGCTCCGGCTGGAGAGAAGAGGGGAGATACGGGCAGAGACACTTTAGCCTGGCAGAGATGTGGCTCTGATGGCTCAAAGGTGACCTGCATTTGACCCTCCAGACTTCAAAACTTTTTCATCACTGATTAGCTGCCTGTTTACTGTACAGCCAGGCTACAAATTTCATTTTATTTTCTCCAGTAGACTCCGATAAGAAAATCCTATGTACTGTGTCAGAGGCAACCCCCCCCCCCCCTTCTTTTCGTTTCAGTTTGGTTCTAAAACCACTAACCACAGGTTGGTTTAAATTGCTCATTTTAAATTGCCACTCCCCTCCCCCGCACCCCACTTCTGACGTACTTTCACCCAGTAGCGAAAATAGCGAGTTTTCTCTCGGGCTTTAAACCGTTCCTAGCCGTGTTAAGCCCCTGCTCCTTTGCTGCATGTTTTACCTCCAACTGACGGAATGAATAACTGAATTGAAATCGGGTTGGGGCTGGGGGGAAGGGGGCAGCGCTAATCATGTTGGGATGGTTGAGAAGGGGAAGAGTTGCTGAAATATACGTATATAATAGCCATCACTTTTTAGCCATTCCAATATATCGGCAGTTAGATTGTTCCGGCTTATTTCGATCAATCGAGTCAAAATGCTCAAGATAGGCTCTGTGGCCGATTCAGCCTGGCTGAAGGAAAGAGTCCCTCGTTGTGTGGGTTTCTTTTACACAACACTGCAGGCGGAGGCTGGCTTCTCTCTTCTGTAGCGCTCTCTGGGGAATCGCGGGGTTTATTTTGGCTGGATTACATCCATCTCAATTTTAATCCAGTCATTAACTACAGTTAATTTGGGGGGGGGGGGACTGTTTTCTTAGGTTATAATTCGCTTCAGTTTGCGGGTTGTGAAAACTCCGGTGAAAAAGAGGATTAGTGAACAATAATACACAAGTTCAAACCCCCTGTAGTCTCCTTTGACAAAGCTGTTGGTTACACAAGTGGCTTTAAAAATAGAGAAAGAGCGAGAGTACTAAAAATACAGCTGTGAAGAATATAACAAATACATTAATGTGTGTGAGAAATGTATGCCCTCTTCCTTGACTACAGATCCCTTTAACTTAAGCCGGTCTCCTTTGCAGAGGTTCACAAGCTTGTTTTCATATCCAATTGTTAACCTTTATTGCCAACTTTCGACTTGTTTCTAGCAAACACTGGATTTAGTGTCATAAATGTCGGATCTTCTGTTCAACACAGATCATCTGTAACCCTTTGGAAATTGTCCCTGATACTATTAACCCCAATCACCTGAAATATGTTCTGAACTTCCTCCCAAGTAACATTTAGGGCTAAGCAGGGGGATTCAAGTGCCATTTGTTTAATGAAATAAGCAGACATAGTCAATTTAGTGTGCTGCCCATTAACACAAAGCCCATGTTTAAAGCGAGTAAGTCCAGGTTCTCCCACTGTTGTTGAGTGTCAGAATGTGCATTAATTAAATCGGGCTCTAGGTGAGATACAGTAGAGGTCACTTTGGTCGCTATCAAGGGATGAAATGCATTCTTTTCCATGCCATGTTTATGTAACTTAATGTACTTTAAAACTTGCTGGTAAATTTAGGCCAGGCTGATAAGCAGAGGAGTTATTAAAGGCTACCTGCTGTGCAATTCCCCCCATGTCTCTTATCCAAGCTCCTTTAAAATATAACGTTATCAAGGCCAGCCAATGACAGGAAGTATTTCCACTCTCAAACAACTGTGACATTACACCAGACCGATTGATTGGGGCGACACGAACACGCAGTGGATTTTCAACCTATTTCGTAGGCTCCTTCGAGTTCCCCTTCCCTTTACAAATCCTTCTATTCAATAAGTAAAGTTAAAACCTAATATAGTCTAAAGTCTCAGCTAGGCAGATACACACACACACACCATACTGCAAGAAGGTAAAAATCCTTAAAAAAAACCCAAAAAAACTATCGATGTTGTCCTTCCTCCAGTGCAACACTGATCTCGGTTACAGCCAGTCAGACCGAATAAGCTGCTAGGACCCAAGTTCTGCTTGGCTGGACTTCAGTGGAGCAGATGCCAAAGGATTTGACCCTGGTCGCTTTCTCTTCTTAGGATTTCTACCTCCCCCGTGAGTACCTGGAAAGACAAACGTTTCTGAGTCTATATCCCAAGAGTTGACCCCACTGGGTTACACCTATAGGAGTGGGAGTCGTCCCCCCCCCCCCCCACTTTTTTTCCTCCAATATGTTTTCAAAAGGCGCAGCGAGTTGTTGCAGAGGTGGGCGTCAGAGCTCAGCGATGGGCGTGAGGGCTCTTGGATATTGACTGCCGAGGGTGAGAAAGCCGCGGGTGTGTCACCACCACACGAGCGAGGAGCTCATGGCACCCTGACCCTCCCCCGGGACGGGGGAAAAGCCCCTTTCCAAAGGCTCAGACCTGGGTGCCTAGCCACGCCTTCAGGGGGAGGCTGGAAAGGAGAGAGGGGCTGGCTGCACGCCGGGCTCCGGTTCTGTGGGTGGCTGGGGTTGTTTGGCTCCAGCCATGAAATCCAGATCAAACGCTGCCCTTGAGCGAGTTCCCATTGTGCCCGTCGGCGAGTCACACTGGGCAGGAGATGGTTCCCCGCAGCAGCCGGGGGACTCGCGGGGGATGTGCTTTTGGGTGATTTCCACACAGACGTTTCAGCCCGAGCTACACAAACAATCCATCCGCTTACAGAAACCAAACCGGCTGTGTTAGGCCAGAGTGGTTTTTCTCTTCATGGAAACTCTGGGCTCACTTGTCTTTGAGAGGCTGGAGGTGTTTCTATGGGAAAGAGAATTCTGGAGGCTTTTTTTCTTTAAAAAATAAGATTTTTTTACAGTAATACATGTTGGGTTCTTTTTCTTTTGCCTTCTGCTTTCTGAGCCTTTCCTGTGCCTGCTGGTCACTTTTCTCCATAACCATGAAGGCAAAAAACTTTTTTTTTTCCTTTTTAAGTTGAGATTCTCATCTTATTACCTGGCTCCAGGAGCTGGGACTTCAAGTAAAACAGTCCATTAAAATGCTGAGAGTTGCATCTAGAGGTCATTTCTAGCAGCTCTCACCCACCCACCACACTGAAATCAAGGGACTTTTGCTAAATCAGGAGTGTGTTAGAAGTGCTGAATCAAGCCCGAGGAATGCAAGGCCAGCCCTGGATTGATCCAGCACAGTCACACAGCTTTAAAAATCATTGTCTTCGTTTGGTAGTTTTCCTCCCCAGTTTTTCCTCTTCTGGGCACAACTTTTTAAAAGTTATGATGTTAGCATTACTTCGTGAGCGTTGCCCTGTTTCAAAATCTCCTGTCAAAATGATTGACTATGTCAGTTTCCAAAGCAGTGTTTTTTTTATTTTCTGACAGCATTTATTTTTTACACAGTCCAGATAGAAACTATAACCTTGTTTTCTCAAATCAGTTGTATGAAAAGTTGGTATAGCTATGCCTTTGTGGAGGATAAAATTGCAACGAAAGCATAAGCTCTACACATTTTGGAAAATGTAAGGGAATAGTCCTTCCCCCATGGAAGTCAATGTAAATAAAGGGTTGATGTTGCAATTGCCTGCAGCTTTCATTCCTCCAGCACTTAGAAACCACAGTCATAGGTGCCTTATGAAATGTGAGACCTGATTCTGGCATCCTTGTACTTTATTCCACAGGCTGTCATATTGATTTCAATAAGACTGTAACAGGGTCTCCCCAAATCTGGCAGGAGACCCTGCCTCTGCCTAAACTTCCCTTTAATGTCAGTTATTCACCAGCTCCCAGTCCTATCAGGTCACTGCAGTGACTTAGCCCTCCAGCTAAGTCCCAAAGTCCACCACTTCCAGAGTTCAACTCAAAGTCCAATGTAAAGCTAAAACCAAATCTTTCACCCAGACTCTTCCACTAGGTACAGCCCTCCCTTTTCACCTTGGCTTCAGCCTTTCCCTTTACTTTAATCCACCCCTTCCATACTTCCTCAAGGAGGAACACACCCACCCTCTACTATGAGCTCCCAGCCTGAGAAACCCTAAATTTCCCTGTCTTCCTTTCCCACAGCCTCTTCCTATTCACTCCCAGCCTGGTCTCTTCACTGTCTCTCTCTTGGCTGGGCCTCCTGCTCACGACAGAGCATTCACTTGCAGATCTGCTTTCCCTGGAGTCTCCCTCAGCGTTGTCCTCCCTTTGACCATAGATTTCTCTCATATTCCAGCAGGCTTATTTTGTAAACCTTTATTTTGATATGGTTAGCTCCTTTGAGGTGTCATCCTGAATTTCTTCTATCTAAGGCACATGTTCCCAACCATGTGGCCCTTGCACACTTTTTCTCCGCTTGAGGAGCCCATACTACACACATCACCAAAAACATCTTTTCTCATTACAGAGCAACACTTTGGGGATGCGCATAGGCCCAGATTCAGCAAAGCACTGAAGCATGTGCAGATGGATAGATCCACTGAAGTGATGAGACACCTGTTTAAAGTTTAAGATGTGCTTAAAGTACTTTCCTTATTCAGGGCCATAATGCACAGGAAATTCCCCTTGATGAGCCCTAACATACAAATCTAACTTACAGGGAAGTGTGGGAAAATCTTCCCAAAGACCCTGTTGGGAGCCTCAGCCTCATGGCCACAGGCACCCAACTGCTCTGCAGAGTGATATACACCTAAATATAATCTTTCAGCCCCTTGGAGCCAGCCAGGATTAACAAGGTTCAAGTCAAGTCAAGTCCCAGCAGTACACCTCTCCCTCAATACAACATGCTCAGCCATGACTTCTCGATCCCTCATTCCAAAACCTTCTGAACACAATTTTTCTCCCCTTATTGGGATGAATATAAAAGGGAAATCTTTTGATTGCTGCTGTATTGCTGGAAAAGCACTAGCCTTTTTCCAATGGCAATTTCAGTTAAAAAAGGGAGACAATGCAAATTAGCTAAGGCTAGTGCTAATACAAAATGCTAATGCCTGATCCTACTAGCACTGAGGTCAATTAGAATTTTGCCATTGACTTAAATATAGTTAAGAGCAGGCTGTAACAGAGGGAGGAGACTAATGTCCAGATCTTTGTGTTTCTGCAGAGACATGGCTTATTGTATCATCAACTCAGAGAGAAATATCTCCCAAGGTTGGAGGGGATTAAGGCTACACAACCGCTGGAGACCTGTACAGACACAGCTCATCCCCCGCTCCTGCCTTTTATGATTTTCATCCCATTCCCATATGGTACATTGTGCCATTGTTGACTTCAGTGACTTTTGTATAAATGTTAATACTGATGGTCTGATATACCTTGGTTATCTGCAGTGCTAGAAGCAGAAGCAGCTCCTGTAACGTAGGTTGTCGAAGATGAGGAGCAGAGCACTGTCTCTGGTAGGAGTGGAATGAACATTACAGAACAGATCTAAATGTTTGAAAAGACCCTTAAATTAACTTGTCATTCTTCTGTGATTTTAAATTTAACCTCATTTCATTTTTGCATGATATTTTCTTGTTCAAGTGAAAAAGTAAGACAGTTTATCTTGCTTCCTGGGACTATGTATTATTTTTTACTGAGTCTAATAGCAGTATGCCTTGAACCTAGCAAGTCTATTGTCTTGTGATCTCTATTAATAATGTGTGGTGGATTGTTATGACTTCTGGTTTTGTCTCTGTGAATAGTTAACACACAGTATTTTCTTTGTATTTTGGTGGTGGGAGCTTTGGGGATTTTTTTAATTTCATATTTACTTCTTTGCTTTTATGGACTTTCTACTTGCATCTATTTGCTACCTTCCACAAATTTTATATATATAGAAGGGGAAAATTCTGACACTCAGGTCTTGGTGGGGGTAAAAATATGCTTATCTCCTTCAAGACCTAATTCTGAATTTCTTCTATCTGGGTACCTCATGATCTTTAACATATTTATTCTCATAATGCCCCGAGGAGATAGCACTTCCTTATTATCCCCATTTTTAAAATGGGGAACTGAAGCACAGTAAGGGATTTGCCCAAGTTTACACAGGAAGTCTGTGACAGAGCAGGGAATTGTATGTTGGTCTCCCCAGCCCAAGGCTATCACTCTACCCACTGGACAATCCTTTCTTTCATTCTTCCTTGAGCATCCAAAACTCCCATTGATTCCAGGCCACTGGAATACTGGGCAGTAGCTAACTTTGGTACAGCCTAGTAGTTTGTTTCTCTTTGTAAACTAGAGAAGAACCATCTCATAGGGCCCAATCCTACATCCACAGAAGTCAATGGCAAAACTCCCACTGACTCCAATGCTGCAGGATCAGCCCCATAGTGACCTTAAATATAATGAAACTCCATTAGCAATGAAGTAGAATGAACATCCAAAACTGGTTACCTGCATTGCAATCTACAAACCACTAATCTATGAACTTCAAATTAGAGAAAAAGTCTTCTATGAAATAAATGACTTCACAATTAGACCGTTCCACAGTAGTATTATTTACAATTAAAACAGAAAACGATGACTTGCCCTCACCATCTGATTTATCCCACACGGATTTTATTTCTGTTAGTTCCCCATACAACCTGTTTATTAATTATTAGTGGAGAAGATTTTAATTCAGTCTTAATCACTTTACTAGATAAAAGCCCCAGTAGTGATATCAAAGACACATAAAATACTAAAGCTATTACAGCCCATTGCAATCCTTATCAAAATGATCAACTTATAAAGGGTGTTACATCCAGTACAGTGAGATTATATTCTTCCCCCATTCTCACAAATCATTCTCTAGAACAGGTTCTTTATTATTATTCTTGTAATAGAAGCAGATACCAAAAACCCAGTAAATGCCAATCACACCTTAATTATCCTTATTGCCAAACTAATAGTTTTCTCCAAGCAAAAAGGTCACGCAGATATCATGCCCACTCCACCCCCTCTTTTTTAAACACTTCTAATAAGGAATATTTTCAGGACAAGTGGAAACAATTTACTGTAATTATTATACCTCACTAAGAAAAAATAGTTTCTGTGTAGAAATGGCTAAAGAATCATTACAGGAGCTTTTATTTCCTATTTTTCTGCTAGGAAAAAAATAAATTAGTATAGCAGGTTGAACATTTTCCAATGTAATGTTTTTCCCATTGGAAAACGCCAATTTGTCAAAATCTAAAGATCCAGCAGGGACATAACCATTTCCACAAAATTATGCTTTTGTGGGAGGGGAAGCCCAAAATGAAGCATTTTGAAGCAGAAACATTATGTCAAAATTTTCAGAATAAAACACTTCAGTGTTTCATTTCAAAACAACTTATCAATTATAAATGCATTTTACATGATCAAATATACTGTACAATTAAAAAGTCAAAATCAAAAATAAATGTTTAGATTTTATTAAAACAAAACATTCTGATTGAACAGAAACAAAAAAATTTGCAAATTTTGTTTCACAGGAAATTGGGACATTTTGACTTTTTGTTCTAATTTAGGATGACATGAAATTTAAAAATATGGGAATTTCCTACACAATGGAAATACTGAGTTTTGACCAGGTCTGGAAGTGAAAGACTTTCTGAATCTGCAATGAAAAATCAAAACACTCAAATCACATATTAAACACTCCAGATTTAACAGTTCAGAATAATTGATATGGACCTCTTAATAACTCTTACCTCTCATTGCCATGAAAAGAGTAACTCTTATGTCAAAAAATCCAGATATTGTGCACAGGCAACCATGGCTGGGAATCTGATGGTCAGACTAATTACTATCTCACAACGAAGCTCTAATTACATGCCTATAATTTCTCTGAATAATATATTCAATGCATATGCTTCAACTACTGTTATATATTAAATATATTCAGAAGATTAAATCAAGCCTTTAAGACATGAATATGGGCTGAGAAAAAAAATAGGATATTCCTACAAAGGCTGCAATTTCTATTGTATGTATGCTGGTTTGACTTTCTGGACATTAGACTATGAAAAATGTGGCTCATCTCACCTGATTGGCTTCAATTTTAAAACAAATTCAGCTGCCTCCTTCTTGAATTGGCTAGTGAAACTTTCTTCTCTTTCCTTTCCTGCAATACAAGTTCATCTTTGCCCTCATTAGTAAAATACTTCTGTGTTCCTATAAAGACCTGGCAATTAGCCCAGGAAATGCTGAATGTGCCATCTGGTTACCCTCTCTTATGAGCCCAAACCAGGGAAATCCAGATTTAATTTCAGGTATCACTGATGTAAACTGTAATACTGGAAAAACATTGGGATTTTGTGTTTAACTGATGTACTGGGTCCAATTAGCATATTTCTCTCGTTTTAGCAACACATTTACAAAAAATTCCTCATTTGTAGCAATAGTCAAATACAATAACAAAAACATAGAAATGTTTGTGAATACAAGTGCTGAGTTCAGATCATTAGGATTCTGATAGTGAAACCTCTTTACAGCACAGACTGTGGCTTCCTGTGTGTCTGTACAGCACCCAGAGTAGGGCCTTGATTCTGATTGGGGTGTATGGGTATTTCCGTAATACACACAAGTAAATAAAAAAATTTTGTGGGTATTTGTACAACTGCTGGGTATTCATCAAAATGTTTGCAAATCTTGAACCCGGTTAACTTAATCATAAATTAATTCCAGAAGTGTGTTATTTGTTGTACACTATCCTCCTGTTTCAGTCATCCATTAAGAGAGCAAAAACGATACCGTGTGACTTTGGTGAGCCATCACGCCACATGAGTTAGTAGCAGTTTTCTAACTACTATGGACTGAAAACAATTCACCCAGACTATTCAATAAATACTTATGAGTAATGAATACATTTGAGGAAAATCAGGATTGATTCACTAATGATTCAGTAACAAAACAAGGGACTCAATTTGTAATGAATAATTATTCACAGCAAATAGTTTGACCAGCACTACTTATTTGCGTGCATATACAGTTAAAACATTTTTTCTTAATGACGATACAAAAATTAACAATTTAGTTTATTTGCCATCAATTTAATAGGTTTCTAGTGGGACCTCTATCTGATCTTGATAAAAAATTCTTATATTGCCACTATCCCTGAATGGAAAAAGGTGAAGACCAACTGGGAGCAGGACACTGGTAAAAAAATATACATAGAAAACTATAATCGTGGAGTCTCCTGGGTTTCCAGTAGTTGAGAATCTGGGGACCAATGTGGTTAAAATCTTGGGACCTGAGTCATTGCTCTGTTACACCAGATGCCACTGAATTGGCATACACCTGATAGAGTGGAGCTGCAAATCAAGCCTATATTTTTATTTTTTCCCAATTCCAGAAACAGGCCATTTAGCAAGTTACAGGAATCTGGGTAGCAACAAAAAGGGTGCAGAGGGGTTGATTTCTAGGAGCCACAGGGCTCCTGAGAGAGATTAAAAATAAGTCTCACTCCTTTGCTTTGTAAACTCTGCTTTTGCCCGAGTCTGTTTTTCTCCTGCTTTTGACAGCTCTGATTTTCTTTCTGTGTGATTTACGGAGTGCTGTCATTTTTCTGCTCTTTACTTTCACAATCACACATTCAAACCTGATAAAGTTCAAGACCCCAAATGCTTCTGCTCTCCTAGATTTACAGGGTCTCAGCCTCACTGCATCCCGAGCAGCAACAAATCTGATTGAATCCTCATGGACTCTGCAAGGAGGAGTTAGCAGAGGTAAACTCAAAGTCCTGAGAGAGACAGAAAAGGTAGTTTCCATCCAAGCAATTAACATCCACATCAAGACAGTCATTCACAACTAAGATCTCACAGGTGAATCACCTCTTCTGAATCACCTCAGAACGCAACTGTTAACTTCCTCTCAGTGTTCGTGGTTTCATTTACATAGCTTTGTATTGTAGTTAAATAGTACATATGTTTCTGTGCATGTAAACATATGTATTATAGGCAGATTGGTACATGAATACAGTAATAGCCATTTAATTCATTCAATCAGTGCCAATTTTTATCCTTTTAATTTAATCAAGCTGCAAGCACAAACAGTTTGTAATACAAATAGTTTCCATTCTTTATATTTATCTGTTTTGGCAGGTGTTATTATGTTGCCTTATCACTAGTAATAATGAATTGTCTTTTTATTAATAAGGAACACCAGCATTTTGAATAAGAAAAGAGCCTATGGAAGGCCTTGAAGATAACATATGGTTACAATTAACAACATATTATTCCAATGTTACTAACATGTTAAGAGCTGTCATATGCAATTGAATATCTGGGATAATTATTTCAATTAAAATGATATAGACTAGACTGAAATAGAAGGCAGTGCTATATTCAAATTTATCAGAATATGTTGAATTTTTATCTTTAAGCACTTCTTATTCTGGCAAAACTCCCATTAACCTTAATGGGCTTTATGCCAACATATAAATATCAGGATCTAGCCTATAAATAGCAAGCGAGATGGAAATAACTTCAACATATATTATTTCCAGTATTGTTCATATAAATAGATTTATGCAACACTTTTCTCTGCACTAGGTTTTTAAACAAACAGACTGGTAAGCCAGACTTCAGGCAGACACATTCAAGGACAATTATTTCCAGAAAGAATGATGCTGACAAACCAGCCAATTGTACAGATGCTGTGAATACAAGAAACCAGGAGTTTTGCAGATGATATTTTTAAATAATGATCAAGAAACTATATGCTTGTCTAATTTCAGAAACTTGCCTGTATACTCCATGAATACCTAAGGATGACATCTTGTATATATTTTTCTTACTGATTTAATACTTTAAATATTAATTTAACTAAATTAAACTCAGTTTAAAACTACATTTAGTTAATCCTTTCATGTAGCCACATACATACTGGTTTAACAAAGTTTATCTTGCACTGGTATATTTAGTTAGATTGGTGTAAAAACTGTGTAGATCAGCCCTTGAGGGGAAATAATGAATCTATGTTAATGTAACTCCACTGACTTTAGTGGAATCAGTCCTGACTTATACCTATATAAGTGAGAAGAATCAGGCCCTCCGACTACAATGGAAAATACCTATGAGAATGATAAGTCTTGATGGTGAAGCAGTTGTGACATTAGTAGTGAGAAGTAGTCATTATCTCTCAGGCCCAGATCCACACAGGTACTTAGACTCCTAAATGCAAGACTTAGGTGCCTAAGGGCTTGTCTACACTTACCGGAGGATCGACGCTGCAGCAAACAATGCATCAGCAGTGGATTTAGCGGGTCTAGTGAAGATCCACTAAATCGACCGCCAATTGCTCTCCCGTTGACTCCTCTAACTGATCGAGAAGAGAGTCACGTAGTATAGACCTCGCGGTAAATCGATATAAGCTCCATCAATTTTAGTTAAGCTATTCACATCACTCAAATTGCGTAGTTTAGATCAACTTTTCCCTTTAGTGTAGGCCAGGCTGAGGTTTAGGTGCCTAAGTCCAATTTTTAGATTCCACTGTGATCCATAAAACTCCTACCTAACCCTGTAGTCACCTAAACTCTCTCAGAGCCTAAGTTTTCGGTTTTCAGAGGAACAGCCGTGTTAGTCTGTATTCGCAAAAAGAAAAGGAGTACTTGTGGCACCTTAGAGACTAACCAATTTATTTTTCAGTGTTGAAGTTCCCTAAGTTTCTGCCTCTGGGCACATGCACTGCTGCCTCATTCTAGGCATCTGGAGATTTATCTTCTGCCTAATCCCCAACAACTGGGGGAAGACAGGTGGGTAAATGTCTATCTGGAGGGGAAAGGGATGCTGATTTGGTAGGTAGGCTCAGAGGCCACTTACGAGATTAGGTCCCATGCCTGGCTAGCAGAGGAGCAGGGCATGCTCACGTCACTGCTTTTAGCCCAGTAGTTAGAGCACTCAGCTGAGATATGGGAGACCCAGGTTCAATTCCCCACTCTGCTTGAGGGGAGGAAAAAGATTTCTGCAGGAGTCTCACACACCTTTGAGAAGAGTGCTCTAACCATGGAGCTATGGGATAATCTATTGTGGGGCTCCTTCAGTCTCTCTGCGGAAGCTGTTCCACTTTGGATAAGTACTCAAAGAATCACTGGACCACAGGGAGAGAGCGCGAAAGGGAATGACTGTAGTGTGGTGGTGAGGGCATCCACATTGGAGACCCAGTGTCCAGTCCCCCTGCTCCAGTGACGCTTTCATTATTTACACATCAAACAGCTTCCACAAGCGAGACTGAGGGAGCTGCACATCATCTCATAGCTCAGTGGTCAGAGCACTCTCCTGAGAAGTTTGGCAGGCCCCTGTTCATAATCCTCTCTCCCCATCAGGCAGGGAGGGGAATTAGACCTGGGTCTCCCACATCCTAGGCAAGCACTCTAACCATTAGGCTGAAAGTTACAAGGTGGGCTCTGCTTCCTACTGCTCCTGCTGCTTTGTGTGCAATGGGGGAGGCGCCCTATTCATGCCACAAGAAACAATGTAGGGCCTTAAGCTGCATAACTCCAGGAGAGGGGCTACCAGTTATAGAACAGAAGCAGAGAGAGGCACCTCCAGCAACCTGGACTTAGGTGTCTATCTGTGAGAGAGGGCTGGGACTTAGAACACATCTTTCTCATCATTTCCGTTTGGCTAGCTTAGGCAATGAGCCACCCAGTGGGCTGGCTTTTATGGATGGAATTCTAAGGCAACTCTTTCCCCATTCATCATATAGGGAACTTAAGTGCCTAACTCAGGCTTTGTGGATTGCAGCATTGTCCTTGTGATTTTCTAGGCAGCTGAAAGTTAAGTATTGCAATGCTCAGCATCACAGCACCTAACACTCTTTGTGGGTCTGGGCCTAAATGCATTAGGAACTGAAAATTCAGCTATACTCAGCTTGGTCAGATGGTGCTCTTGAGCAGAAAACCTGAAGTCCCAGCAATGATTCAGCAGATGTATCCATGGTGCATCCTCAGGCTAACTATAACAGTCAGAACACTGAGTCCCTCACCTTCTTAACACTGAATCCAGCCAACTTCCCCGCGTAGACATTTTCCTTTCTGACATACAGTGCTGCACCAAGGTAGGAGACTGAACAGGGAAGAAAAGAAAATCCGTAAAACAGTTATATTTTCTCTCTCTCCTATGTATGTATGTCTAAAGAGAGTACACATGATGGTACGATGTGCTAAGAAGGTTTTATTGTCAGGCCTTTCCAATAGCTGTATTCTCACAAGGGATGAAGTATAGTAAGTTATGACAGTTATCTCAACAACAGAGGTAGATTAAGGTTTCCTGGGGCCCTGGGCCAGAGAAAGTGGGGGGCCCCTCCCCAGCCCTGTGGTCCTGCCCCCATTCTGCCCCTTCTGCCTATGGTCCCACCCACAGCCCCACCCCTTTCTGCCACTTCCCTGGGGCCCCATCCCTGTTTCACCCCCCCCCCATTCTGCCCACCCCACAACCGATTTGCTCCTTTCTGCCCCCCCACCTTCCCCAGACCGGGGAAGCTCTGTCCCCGCATCACGGCCCCAAGGCTGCAGCAGGGAGTGAAACCTCCTCCAGTCCCAGAGCTGCAGTGGGGCTTCAGGTGCTGGGGCTTCTCAGACTCATAGCTATTAAGGTCAGAAGGGACCATTATGATCTAGTCCGACCTTCTGCACAACACAGGCCACAGAATCTCACCCACCCACTCCTACAATAAACCTCTCACCTATGTCTGAGCTATTGGAAGTCCACAAATCATGGTTTAAAGACTTCAAGGTGCAGAGAATCCTCCAGCAAGTGCCCCATGCTACAGAGGAAGGCGAAAAACCTCCAGGGCCTCTTCCAATCTGCCCTGGAAGAAAATTCCTTCCCGACCCCAAATATGGCGATCAGCTGAACCCTGAGCATGTGGGCAAGATTCACCAGCCAGTTACCCAGGAAAGAATTCTCTGTAGTAACTCGGATCCCACCCCATTAACATCCCATCACAGGCCATTGGGCGTATTTACCATGAATAGTTAAAGATCAATTAACTGCCAAAATCATGTTATCCCATCATACCATCTCCTCCATAAATTTATCGAGTTTAATCTTGAAGTCAGATAGGTCTTTTGCCCCCACTTCTTCCCTTGGAAGGCTATTCCAGAACTTCACTCCTCTGATGGTTAGAAACCTTCGTCTAATTTCAAGTCTAAACTTCCCAATGGCCAGTTTATATCCATTTGTTCTTGTGTCCACATTGGCACTGAGCTTAAATAATTCCTCTCCCTCGCGGGTATTTATTCCTCTGATATATTAATAGAGAGCAATCATATCTCCCCTCAGCCTTCTTTTGGTTAGGCTAAACAAACCAAGCTCCTTGAGTCTCCTTTCATAAGGCAGGTTTTCCATTCCTCGGATCATCCTAGTAGCCCTCTCTGTACCTGTTCCAGTTTGAATTCATCCTTCTTAAACATGGGAGACCAGAACTGCACACAGTATTCCAGGTGAGGTCTCACCAGCGCCTTGTATAATGGTACTAACACCTCCTTATCTCTACCGGAAATACCTCGCCTGATGCATCCCAAGACCGCATTAACTTTTTTCACAGCCATATCACACTGGCAGCTCATAGTCATCCTGCGGTCAACCACTACTCTCTCCTCCTCTGTTACTTCTAACTCACGTGTCCCCAGCTTATAACTAAAATTCTTGTGATTAATCCCTAAATGCATAACTTTATACTTCTCACTATTAAATTTCATCCTATTACTATTACTCCAGTTTACAAGGTCATCCAGATCCTCCTGTGTGATATCCCGGTCCTTCTCTAAATTGGCAAAACCTCCCAGCTTTGTATTATCTGCAAACTTTATTAGCACACACCCACTTTTTGTGCCGAGGTCAGTAATAAAAAGATAAATAAGATTGATCCCAAAACTGATCCCTGAGGAACTCCACTGGTAACCTCCCTCCAGTCTGACAGTTCACCTTTCAGTCTGACCCGCTGTAGTCTCCCTTTTAACCAATTCCTTATCCACCTTTCAATTTTCATATTGATCCCCATCTTTTCCAATTTAACTAATAATTCCCAGTGTGGCACCATATCAGATGCCTTACTGAAGTCTAGGTAAATTAGATCCACTGAGTTTCCGTTGTCTAAAAAATCTGTTACTTGCTCAAAGGAGATCAGGTTGGTTTGGCACAATCTACCTTTTGTAAAACCATGTTGTATTTTGTCCCATTTACCATTGACCTCAATATCCTTAACTACTTTCTCCTTCAAAATTTTTCCCAAGACCTTTTCTCCCCACCAACCCTGCGCTTCTGCAGGGGATCAGGGTCACGGTGCTTCCCCCACCCCGCCGCTTTTGCCTGGGACGGGGTGGGGGGCGGCTCAGAGGGGCTTCCCGCACCCCACTCACTGGGCAGCGGAAGCCAGGGACCCCCAAGTTGACTGGGGCCCCTGGACATGGGCCCTGTGGGCCCAGTGCCTAATCCGCCACTGCTCAAGAAGTCTCAATAAAAGCTTTATGCAGTATTCTACCTGCCGCACACACATACACCAAGTATCAGATATTCTGTTCTTCTTCGTCTTTGCCTTATCTTGTCAATTGGTGTCAGCAGCCCTTGTTCTTCAATTCCACAAGCACATCTTCCAAGCTGAAGCCAACCTTCTTCATATCCTCCTGTAACATCTCAAACCACTCCCTGTACTCTTTGGCCAACCTATTCTGCATCTCACCATCTCACATAGAATCATAGAATATCAGGGTTGGAAGGGACCCCAGAAGGTCATCTAGTCCAACCCCCTGCTCGAAGCAGGACC